TGCTGGCTGGGGAATTCTGGGAGTTGTAGTCCACGTGCTGGCTAGGGAATTCTGGGAGTTGAAGTCCACACAGCTTAAAGTTGCCGAGGTTGAGAAACACTGCACTAGAACATCTCTGATGGACGACCACCCAGCCTTTCCTTCCTGCAAAGGAGAACTTACACTTCGCCGCCCGCTTCTCATGATTAACCGGCGCCCCGCTTCAGCCCTCTCTTCCTCCCAGCCTTTCCTCTTCACTCCTCTTCCCAGAGATACCTGGCGTCGGAAGCTGAAGAGCACCACCAGCTGTTCGACCTCCTCGAGGGCATGCTCGAGTACGAGCCAGCCAAACGTCTCACCCTGTCAGAGGCCCTGAAGCACCCCTTCTTCGACATCCTCCACCTGCAGCCCGGCCCCAAACCTTGGGATTCGAGCCGGGATATCAGCCGGTGACCCATTGAGGCTCTTGGCGTCTTTTCCTGAATCCCCCCCTCCCCGATCTCCTCCCCGCCGGCGTACATTCGGCCCCTGTGGTGGCTAGTACGGCTTCTCCGTTCTGGTGCTTTAGAACAACTGAAGAATACAGAAGAAATCTTGGTTCATCTCTCCCTCACCTGTTGCAGGTTTCCTTCCTTTTTGTTATCATGTAAAGCTTGTTGATATGTGAAATAGTTTGTAAATATATCTCTCTATTGAATATACACACATATATATATATATATATACATATATAAATTATATATAAAACACACGAGATATCTTGTGCCATTTACTTCCCCCTACCATTGCTCCCTCCTGTCCTCCCTTTCTGCTGTACAGATGTCCTGCCTCTCTTTCCTTAGCCCATCTTCTACCCTGTGCGGATTCCACGGCTCTTGGACAATTATTTTTGGATAACGGACCCCATCCCATTTCAAATGCCAGAATTTTATATGACTTTTGTACAGTCTTTGTGGGAAAAATAAAAAGATCATGTCAAAGAATGCCAAGTTTGCTCTGTGAACGTTACGCTTGCCCGTTTCTTCGCTCTCCTCCTTTCTTCCCTCACTGCAAATAATAATAATAATTATTATTATTATTATTTCTGGCAACATTGATAAGATGCTAGTCGTCCCATTGTGTTCTTTGTCCCGATGTGCTTCTCTTAGGAAGAGGAAAATTCATCGGTTTGCTTTTTCTTTAGTTTTTTTTTTTTAATATGCAATTCCTTTGATTGGGACAAGGGCAGCATTAATGGTGGGGGTTGTCTTTTCCTCTTCTAAGAAAATATTGTAAATCCCCTGTTGGAAATTCGTAAAGAGCATGGCTCCTGGGCAACTAGATTTTTCTCAGCTTTGCAAATTAGCGAGCTCAAGTGAGGTCAGCCCACATTCCTGTGTTCAGAGGTAGATTAGCACTTGATTAAAGCAGGGATCTGTCTTCTGTGGCTAAACTTGCAAAGGCTTGTGCGTGTTACGAGAACATAGATAGCTGGTCAAAATAACACTTTTTTTGAAGGGGAAACAGGTGTGTGATTCATAAACGCCTGGTCTATCCTTTGCCTGAAACTTTTAGCTCCTCTTCAGAACAGCCTTCCTCAACCTTGGCATCTTCCAAAACACGTCGTGCAGACGGAACGGTGACTTCCAAGATCTAGCCTACATTTGTAAGGTATCAGGCTGCGAAAGGCTGAATTTAGCTTCTGTTTTTTCAGAAAAGATGCCGATCAGCTGTTTCAGGCAAAACGTTTTCCTGTGTATACACACAGCTGATCTGCCAACATTTCCCTCTTAACTTGCCTGTCGTACTGTTTTCGTTGCAGTTCCAGAGAAGGGCATCTGAGCTGGAAACGATTTAAGGCTAAAATCCAGGAAAGGGGGGAGTGGGCGGGATGGGAGCTGAGATTCGCAGCTTCCTTCCCCCTTCCGTGCTTGATGTAAGAAGCTTAAACCCCAAGTCCTACCAGCTGTAGCTTGTCCTTCACCTTGTTTTATAAACCCTTTATCCCTCTCTAAACCCCCAGGGGGTCATTCAGCTCCAAAGGGCCATCGTTGAAAGATCGGTTTAGACAGGAAAGCCCAAGGCACACATTCCAGTTTTGCCTGAGTGACGTTTCAGAACAAGCAACCGATTTGTGGCCTGCGTCCGTAATGAAAGGACATCTGTCATACGGGCAGCACTGGTCCCTTGGTGGTGAATACGTTGGTTGAGACACATTTTGAGTTAATTCAACAGCTGCTGGCGCTGGAACTGTCATCGTTATTCTAGTAAATTAAACGTTTCTAGGATTAAACGGCAGGACTTGAAATGTTTGGTGGTATTTAGGATGGGAAACTGATGGTAAATCTGGTGGCAGGCTAGTTTCTCCCCAGCTGGGCCAAATGACATTAGGGGGTCCCTATAGGTTTACCCTGTAATAAATCTTCTAGTCCTTAAGGTGCCACAAGCTGGTGTGGGGTCTGCTTTTAAGCCATTGCTCTCTCGGGCAAAAATCCATTAAGGACTAGTAACGTGCTATTTTCCAACTCCTCGAGATCCTCCAGAATGATTGGTGGCAAATAGCTGAAGCTGTTTGTCCTCTAGAGAAGGACACGTCCCTAGCGATCTTCACGACGGCTCTGCTCACTGTACCATCTGTGCTGAGGCTTGCCAGCTGTCACGCCAGTGGATCAAGGAAAACCTGTGCTCCCCCCTCTTCCCCACTTAAAGAACTTGAGCAGACGAGACTCTAATCGTTCTTTGGGCATGTTCAGAGAGAGAAGATCTGTCTACACCGAGGAGGGAAGCTGAACTATTGGGAGATTTCTGTACGTGAGTCCATGGTTTTCATGGAAAACGAGAATTCTGGGCTGGGTGGATTTACTGCTTTGTTCTGATTAAAGGGGGAAGGTTTTGAATGCGTCTTTACCGTGCTGATTTGGGTTGCCTTTCAGTTCTCGTGCTGGACGCCCTGTCCTCCTCTCTCGGCTCCCGTCCTGGCGATGAGATCGCGGTTTGGAATCTCAGTCCAGCAACTCTTGTGCGGCCTCTCTGAAGATGCCGCCAAGGACAAAGAGATGGGCGTCCGAAGGGGCCACAGCTGGGAACCCGCCAAGACGTGTGCCCGCCCCAGGCAGAAGTGAGCACAGTTGAGAAGATCCCTTTTGGGAGAGGTCCAAGGCAGCCGAGCAAACACGTGTTTGAAATTAAACATATAAATTGCTATATACCTTGTTGAGATGGATGGATAGATGGATGGATAGTTTAAACAAACCAATATGTGTTCAAAGGGAGCTGCCACTGACGTTCCCAAATAGAGCATTATACCAACCACAGATTTCTGATAGTTCCTGGGCATTCGATCATTTTTTAAAATTATTAATAAATCAACTGTTTTCCATCAATCCCCTGGGGAAAACAAAGATGAGGATAAACCTACCCGTTCACCCTCCCCTTGTTGCCTTCCCAGTCAATTTTGGGACTGTTCATACCAGAATACTTGATCTAGTCAGTTTCACAGTTCTGGGGTTGATTTCCTTTGCTCCTTATCAAGAGCGTGCCTTTTCCCCAAGCCTCGTCTTATACTAAAACTGTCAGCATCTTTTTCTTGTACTTTACGGGGCGTGAAATCTGCAATTCCGTAGAAGCAGCCTGAAAGCAGCGGGGCTTTTTCAGGAAAAACAGTGTCTGGATATGCATTGCGACGTGCGTTTTGTGTTCTGTGAGGGAGGCCATCAAGATGTTGTTTCCTTCCGCCCCTTCCTGAATCTCTCTTCTCCTCCCCTGCCAGGGAAGAACGGGATACAGCTTTCGCTCAGCAGAAGGCCCAGCGCGCCTCCCTGAGGACCCATCTGCGGGAGAAATACCATCTCCCAAAGGTGAGAGTTCGCCTTCTCCTGAAAGGACCCCACTCTGTCTGTTGGGGGATTCTGGTGAGATTCTTTTAAGCAGTTTCTCCCTTTCTGAGGCCAGAAAACTTACTTAAAGATATCATATCCCTTTTGGGAATTTGACACCCTGACCCATTTGACTCCTACTGGAACTCTTGCCCAAACACAACTCAGTGGGCTTGCAAGGAAGCATTGCAGTGTTGAGTTGCTCGGCGTGCCAGCCAGCTCAGGGTGTCCTTTTCTGGGTAACTCCATTCCACTCCCCGCCTTTCCCAGTTTTTCATCGTCCTCCTTGAACGGCTGACGTTCTCCTAGGTACTTAGCAAGTTCAATTGTCCTGGGGTTGTTTGTGTACCCTTCCTTCTTTAAAATGTTTTCTTTTTCATTTGCTTGAATGTTGGAAGCAGAGCGATTTTGTAGTAGAAAGATGGAACACAGATTCCCCCAGATTTATTTTTGTTTGATTGGCGGAACTTTCCATCAGAGGGACGGTGGGCTAGAACGCCCTTCCCCAGCCTGATGCCTCCCAGATGTTCTGAAGTAAAATGCAAAGATTTTCTTGTTCTCATCTCATGGGTTGCCATTTCTGTCCCCCTGATCTCCCGTTTCCTTCCTCTTTCAGAACCTGGCTGATGAAAAGCAGTTGGAAGCCGCTGGGGGTAAGGCCCAGCTCCCCCGAGATCTTCTGACCATCGTGCAACCCAGCGTTGCCTTGCAAATCCCTTCTAACTTCCCCAGCTTCGGTGGGATAGATTTTGACTCCCTGCAAACAACCCTCCAAAGCCCAGTGCAGTCTTTCCGGCCCCCAGGGCAGTGTCTGATCATGTGAACGCCACATTTTAGAGGATGCAGGAAAAATCTTTTAGTAGGGTGATCCTCCAGCAGGGCTCATCTATAAGGCTGCTTCAGTGAACGTCCTCTCATAGTTTTGGAGGTATTGCATCTTAGTGGGAAGGGAGCTTTCGGTAAAGACCGATGAGAAGACAGGTGGATCAAATCATCAATAGGGTGGCCTTATCCTATAACCATTCTACATCACTATATCTCTCCTTTTTGACCATTCCCTGAGGATCACGCGCACGTCTCACAGCTCCGCTCAGTAGCTTTTCCAAGCCTCACCCCGAAACACTGATTGAAATGCAATTTGTGTACGAGATTATTTATGAGATTAAAATCCCACCTTTCCTTCAGGAGCTAAAGATAGTGTATGTGGTGTTTCCTCCTTCTCCTCCTGTTTCTCCCCAAAACCACCACGACCTGGTGAGGTGAGCTGCGCTGAGAAAGAGGTCCCTGGTCATCCAGGAAGCTTCTGTGGCTGAATGGGAACTCAACCGGGGTCTCCCGGCTGCACTTCAGCAACTCCACCACGCCTTGGTGGACCCTCTTTAAGCAGGAGGTGATCTTCAAAAATGATCACAACTACAAAAATGATCACCACGGGCTCATCGCCATGTTTCAGCCTCCGGTGACCTAGCACCTGGAAGCAAAGGATGAGGAAAGGCGTAATCTTTTGAAAAATGTATTTATTATTTACAATGTATAGGCCATGCATTAGCAACGGCTCAGGCCCGGCACCTTACTATTTACCCAGCGGTGTAAAACATCTCCAAACTAAGCTGCCTTGGGTAAAAATGAAACGCTTAGCCCCTTTCTAATGTGTGACACGTTATAGGAGGGCGGGTGGGGTGAAATGCAGGCCCTGCTGTGGGAAAAATTGAATTTTGCGGCTAAAATGGGATGTGCCCAGAGTGGAACTTGCCAGAGGCCTCCAGTTGAAGACCTGGACCGAATGTTTGGTGGATCTCAGCGTGGCTCAAAGCTATGCCAAGGTGTACAAAGCTGCAGAAAGATGTGTTCCTGAAGGTCGCTGTTCAACATCTGTGCCAGCTGTGATGTGAAGGCGGTCCTTAAAGGACCCTTGTGCCCGTAATCCAGCCTTAACACGCCTGAGTCCCCAATTTTAAGACTCCTCCAGGGGAGATACAATTGACTTGATCAGCCAAAGCAGATAAAAGATTCCCCACTTAATAATAACGGGTGGAGAACCCCAGCTGGCACATCTGTCCTTAAGGGGGCATGTGGCCCCGTCTGGAGCAGATGTTTGACCCGAGCCCTGAAGTCCAGCCCATCGTCCCGATCCATCACAATACATCATCTTCCACAACCAATCCAACTTTGGAGTGCATCTGGACGCCGTATCTACCTTACAGGCCATCATACCTCAAGGCCATCTCAGATTAGCGATCCTAGCTTGGGGCTTGGGGTGTATTGACCAAAATGTGCCAGGCTTGCTGGTATTGTCCTTAAAATGAGCAGGGAATGCTAAATACAGCAGGGGTGTGATTATAAATGGTGGACTAGTTTAGACCAGTTTTTCAAGCTGGCTGGGGAATTCTGGGAGTTGAAGTCCACACATCTTAAAGCGGCCAAGTTTGAAAAACTCTGGTCTGGATCTTTGTGATATGAGAAAGATTAAGGGAGGGGGTGCCCTCCATCACCTGCCTTTTCTGTAAACCATGGTTTATTGTGTCTCCACCAAAATGCCTATTTAGCCCACCCTCAAAGCTGCCTGTCACAGCAACTGTCTGCTCAAAAATCAATCCTTTGCTCTCATGGCGGACACCTCACTGTGGGCATAAAACAAGTCTGACTAAGCCATGGATTAATTCACTAACCATGTTAAGCCTTGGATAGATGGATGGATTCAATGCATAGAGCCGCCCGTCTCACGTAGGTGACTCTGGGCTGCACACAATCAAACAATCAGATAAAACAACCCTAAAACAGCGGTATAATTCAACAATTCAGATGTTTAAAACCATTTAAAAAGAGTTTAAACGTGGATATAAATAGGACCTCGGCAGAACCGGTCTTTTTTATTATTTATTGTTTATTTTTTATAATTAATTAATTATTATTTAATTTATTATTTAATTATTTATATTGTTATTTAATCATTTAATCAATAATAATTAATATAATTTATTATTTATAGGTAGGCTTTTTCATTGCTGGCCCTCGTTAAATTGGGTACCTGGAGTTCCTCCCTCCACCTTTTTCCTTCCCCCAATTGATGGGGGAAAAACTACAAATCTCTTC